TCGGATAAATCTATATCTGAGTTGTGTATATTATTTATTTGTAATGTAGTGGTTTGAATATTATCAACATAAAGTAGTTTGAGATTTTCTGTTTCTTCTAATTTCATAGTAATTTCTTCTTGTTCTTGTTTATCTACTAGTTTCTTAAGGTCTAAATCCGGTTCTCGGATTAAGGAAGGATGTGATGCTCTCTTTTCAATTGCTATTTTTCGTGCTTGAGGTGTTAGAGTCATCATTAAAGTATCTGTCATTTTTGTGTTTTTATAATCATGAGTGTTAAGTGAACATGCCTTTCGGACTAGTGTTTCGATCCTTACTGCTAGTTGTTTGACCATTTCGTTTGGTAGTCTACGTATTTTGTTGCATAAACTTCTTTGATGTTGTTTGTTCCTTTCTGAATCAAACATTTTTGAAAATTTTTGTGTGAATCTTTTCCAATCTGATTTTGTATCTATAGGTAAAACTGAAAACCATTTTTGAGCTGCGCCATCAAGTGTGGTTTGTATTAACGCTGTGCGTATATGTATCCAATTTTGGTGAAGTGATGTATTTATTGGTTCAGGTCCTATAATTTGGATTAAATTTGCTGTGACTGCGTTTAAATAATCTTCTACAGAATGTTCAGTGTCTGTACCTGTGAAAACTATTGAAGGCTTGTTTGATGTTATTGACGATCCACCCATTAGGTATGGATTCATAGTCATTTGAAGTGATTCTGCGGCATTTGGCATTTGTGAAAAATTTGTAAGTTGACTCTTTGTTATTCCATGTTGTTGTAAGTAATAGGGTAGCGGAATTTTATTTTGAATTTGCGTTGGTTGATAAGAATCTGTATTAACTGTATTTTGTGAATAAAAAAATTAGTGTTTTGAGATGCTAGATTTGGTCTAGGTTGTCGTATATGTTGTTCTTGTGTATATGGTTCAAAAACATCTGGTTGGTTTACGTGGTAAGAGTGAAGTCTTTGGTTTGAATAAAATTGTGGATTATTTTGATTATAATAATCTTCATTATCTGATGAAAGATAATTAGATGTATAATAAGGCGTTTGTTGTTCATTTCTGTTTTGCTGTTTATTATTTTTGTTTTGCTGAAAAAATGGATAATTTTCACTTTGGTCTTGTAAAACTCGTGGGTAATCAATTTGATGATGGTTGTTGGAAATTTTGTCTTTGCGAAAATAAATGATTTTTCGTGTTTGTACGAGGGGGTTTAGTTGATTGTAATCTATTTACATAGTTATAATTATGTTCTGCAAAACTATTTCTCGTGAATGTTTTTTGTTTTTGCGTTGATTTCGTCGTTGTTCTAAACGTTTGGCAATCCATTTGTGAATATTTTGGAACAACGGAGGGTTTAACCGTAGTTTATAATGTTACCTGTGGTAATGTTGGATTTTTGCGTCTTTGAATTGTAAGATTTGGATGTATTGGTGAAATACTTTTTGTGTTGTCGCTGTTACTGTTTCAACTATTTCTTCATTTGCGAAATGTGATGGTGTTTGAATATCTTGTTGTGTAAGATTTCTAGTTCCTTTTAGGTTTTCTTGTTGTATGAGGGTTGAGTTTAAATTATTATTTCCTAGTCTATTGGGTAGAAATGAATTATAGTTTAAAGGTGTTGCGTCATTTGTGAGTGGATCTACTTAAACATAATCTTTGTCTACTTTAACATAATCTTTGTTAATAGAAATTGTGCTAATTGGCTGACTTGAAATATAATGTTGGTATCTTCAGGAATAGTGGATGAGACGATTCGGGGTCCCAAACATAATCTGATTGTTCTGCTAAGACAATGTCATCAGTAGAATTTTGAAGTCTAAAATTTTATCTTGCTTGTGATGTTAAATCAATATTATGTGTGAAATAATCAATGATAAACCATGCTAAGATTTTTTGTAAATCGTGTTTAACATTCTGCGAAATTTCTGTACTAGTTAAACTTTCACGGATTGTGTTTAAAAATTCGGAGAATATTGCAATTTCATGTCTTACAGTTGTGTGTCTAGATGTTTGAACTGTTGAAGTTCCTTGAGATTCTGTTTTTTCTAGTATAAATAGATAACTATAAATTAATGATATAAATTGTTAGTGAATAGTGAATTTGCTCTTTGTGAGTTTTGATGTTGTATATTTTTTATGTATTCTGTGAATACTCATGAAAATTCTATGTCTACGTCGTCTGTTTGAAGTAGATATGTACCATGAAACTTACTTGGTGAGTTTTTTTCTATGGTATAGATTCCGTACTGTTGTGTTATATTACATATTCCTTTTAGATAGTGATCAATAATTTGTCTTTTGATTTTTACTTCTGGGAATTTTGCTGTACATGGACTAGTTCCTTTTTCAAATAAATTTGCGGTTAAATTTTGACAAAATTGGGTTTTTTCTCTATCATTAGTGGGTGAGTTGATTAAAAATGGAAGAATGGAGTTTTCATCTTCGCTTTCTTCATTTGGACTAATTTTTGTGTTTTATGATTGTCAATGTGTAGTTTTCAATGTGTTTTTTTGGTTGATTCCAAATGTATAGACGTACTGGTTTGTTTTTGTAGGTCTTTTTTATTCTTCGTTTTCCTTGTATTGACGATTGTGATGTGGTTTCTGCGTCGGAAAAATGAAATGTATCATTAACTTGATAATTTTTATTTATGGAGTCAATTAACCTGTAAAGTTCTTTTAAATTACTGGTTTCTGATTCGGAGACTGCGTTTCTTCGCTTTGAAAATTTTTTTCGTGTAATTTGTCTTTGTTTGCTTAAAATTTTCTTTGTGATTGTCTGTCATTTTGTTCTAATATGTCTTATTGTTTGTTTTTGCGGAGTAATTACGTGGTCAAATTTTTCGTTGTTTCTTTCACAATTGTGTAATATGATTGTTTGTTTATTTCCTAGATTGTCTAGTGACATAAGGTTTAGGAAGACGGATGCAATATTGGGATTAGTAATTTTTTAATGTTTTAAACTATTAGTTCTTACGATTTTTTCGGGTTAGCCTAACTTGGGTCATGTATTTCAGGGTTGGAGAGAAAAGTATATATCGATTCCTGATAATGATTTTTACTTTCTCGTGGCTAGTATAAGTTAAGGTGTTAAATTACTTAATCTTACTTAGGGGTAGTGGTTGTGATCAAGGGTTGGAGAATACTAACTCGATCCACAAGGTTCAGGTATAATTAGAACACAAGTAGTTCGTTAGATACTATTTTAAACTTACTAAGTTTAAGTATGATCCTAGGTCAGGTAAGAGGGGGGGTCAAGTGAAGGATGAATAACCGAAGTTCTTCACTGTTTATCCTAATTAGATTGATTAGTGTGATTGAAAAGTTTCTAATAGTCCTGGGTCTTGAGAAAGGGTTGGGTAGTGAATCGACGTTTGAGGTCGTTAGACACTTTTTTAATTGTGAGGGGGAAAACAAAATTGTTTTATTTGATCCAAGGATAAGCCTTGATGATCAATATATAAAATTAATCAAATTAAATTTAATTCAGATAAAAGTGAGTTAAAGATCCAAGGAAAACCTTGATGATCTGTTGAGTTTAAGAAGTTTAATTTAAATTAAAATACGAAATAGGATAGGCCTTTATAAATTAAGTTAAGGTTTAATTGATAGAAAATTTTTGTTTTATTAGTTTTTGATGATGTTAGTGGATTTATGATTCGCTGTTATGCCTTAGGTGATGAAGCTGAGATGATGAGATGATTTAAATATACTAACAGTTTGTGTTTTTACTAGCTAATTTTTATAATTTATTTTCAATAAATATTATTTCCGGATATCTTTTTAAATTTACTGCAGATCTTTGAAGAGAACGACTAGAGATGTTTTTATCAGTCATTGTTGTACAAAAATAAGTTAAGCGCCTGTAATTGTCATTGAAGATTATTCTTCAAAGATACTATGTTTGCGAATGAAAATCTAAATTCAATGCTAATAGAATTCTAAACATAAAAGTTTGTGTTGGCTTTTGCTGTACGACTATGAAACTTAATGGTAAGTTCCTTTCTAGTCGTATATCGTCTTTTGCCCGAGGTCTTTTTCCAATACCGGCTAGTTCTCGTATTGTTCGGAATAATGGCTCTGATCTATTGAGTCGTAGAGACATTTCAATAAATTTGTTGTCGTGTAACTTTTTTGGAAATGTTTTTTGTCTGAGTCTAATCTATTTGGTTAGTTCCAAGCTAATTTGTTTTTAAGGTCTTGTTCGAGACTTTTGGTCGCACCAGATGAGTTAAGATGGGAGGTCAACTCATTGAGTAATTTCAGATAGGGTACACCGTCTGCTCGTCACGCTAGGGTACACCGTCTGCATCTTATTTTCGGCCGGATAGATTCGTGCAACTTCTTAGTCTATTACCGATCTTAATCTTACTCTTATATCTCTTAGTCTTAATAGATCTAGAGTATACTGGTTTTGTTACAGTCTCTTGGAGAAAGCAACTAAGTCGTAAGTTAAATTCAAATTGCTCTGGTGCTGAAATTACAAGTAATTTCAGCACTTACAAATAAGTGGGTTGTTAGTTTGATGGACTGTGATTGGTTAGTCTTTAATATTTTATAGGGATAACATATCTAAATTATAACCAATAATAAATTATAGTTTGGATCTGGTTCCAATATTAAAAAAAGTCAATTTTTTATGACGTTTGTTAAGTTTTTTTGTGAGTGCTGTGATGAGAGGAACAAAACGAAAGCTTATATATAACATAGGTAACTTAGTCAGATTTTGACTACTGTTTTCTTCGAAAAAGAAAAAATACCAAAAACTCTGCAAATGTTTCAAAAATTGTTTCAACACGATATGTGAGATGACCCTTTCTGATCAGTTTTGGCCATACCTGATTATGCCTAAAAAGAAAAAAAACCAATACTAAAACGCACTAGAAGACAAAGTCCCTCCTTACTTTCAGTGGTCGGAACTATAATAAGTTTCACCGGAAAAAGCAAAACTACGATTTCAAAAAGGTCTTCTCATTAAATAAACTACTATTAAAAACGCTACTTCAGAAATTTTTTTCAGTCAGATGTATAACTAATGGAAAAAAGCTTTGATACTGGATAGACTATACCTGTCAATCAATTACGGTTTCAAAGACTCCTACGAAAAAATTTCATGAATCATTAGAATGTGTTTATATTTCTCCTTCCTCCATTATTGGTTCTTCGTAGCATCGGTTGTCGATGCATTCCTGTGAATAGCATTGGCTGTCGAATCGGCAAAAAGCGTCGGTGGACTCCATGGGGAAGCAGCTTTTCAGCGCCTGATATCCCCGTGGTACGCGCTTCACTTCATAAGCGCAGTATTCTCTCCGGTAATCGCACCTCGCATGATCGATTTCAACATAAGAAGAATTTTTATTTGAAATAGATCTAGCAATACAGAAAGCCCCACCAAATTGCGTACCATAACCTTTTGCTTTTGATCAGAAACGTATTTAGGTGGGGGGGGGGGGGTAGACGTTCTTCTTTCTCAGGGATTCGACCCCCTGCCGGCCCAAAGGGTCCCCCTTTGTGCTATTTTGAGATATCCATATTTGGTGACGGCCTCTTAAAAGTTTCTAAAGGCGCCTTTGGCGCCAATCTATACTAATTTTGAGGAGGGAGCGCGCGCCGAAAAAAACGCCTTTTTTGGCCTTTTTTCTAGATTTTGCCTGCGGCGCAGAAAATTAGGTCAAATTAGGGTCTTTATAATGGTTTGGGAGAGCTCAGAAGATCAATTTGGTCGACTTAAAAAAAAAAGGTCGACAAAAGTTTAATTTTTTTTTTGAAAATCCCCCCCCTCGAGAAATTCCTAGATCCGCGCCTGCTTTTGATATTTTTTTTCATAACGTTTTAATTGATACAGTAACGTTTTTTTTAAGAAAAATCTATTTTCGTTTTTAGGAATTTTTTTTTTTGCGATTATTTGGTGTTCTCCACCCTTAAAAATAGCGTAATTTTTCAGCTAGTAAAATCAGTTAAAGATTAGCGCAGTAAAATAGAGTCCAAGTCCTCTAAAACAAATCCTCTAAAAATTTTCGAAATTATAAAGTTTATTTCGAGTCCTTAAATATGGCCTTTATCTCGCAGTTCGCCACCCTAGTCAACCAAGTGAGGTTATCTCGCAAGATCTTGCAACATAGTTACAAATAAAGGTTATCTTGCAAGAATAATTCGACTTCATAAGTGAAAAAATGGAGCTTGCAAGATGGAGATTATCTTGCAAGAATCTTGGAAGAGGGAGGTATCTCGCAAAGAGGAGGTATAATTTTGAAAGAGATGCATCTTCTTATAAACAATCTTGTAAGATCTTGCAAGATAGTTTCGCATGATCGCATGTTGAATGGGCATAATGTTTCTTTGGACCACCGAAAATCTCAGAGAAAATCATCCGCAAGAAAGTTTGTATTTCCTTCTGACACCCTGGGTACTTCCAACAAAAATAGGTTGGGATTTCTGCTGATTTTAAACCAGTTTCAAAAATTCGTGGTAGAAATAATCTTCTAATGTTAGAAGCTCGTCTGATGTTAGAAGATCGGGCGGAGCTTAAGAAACTTTAAGTTAGATTGACCAAAAATGCATGTCGCCTTAAACTGCCTTCCCCTCCTTCCCGGGTTGACCAAAAGTGGTAATCATACAATTTCTTTTTATCAAAAAAGGCTGATCATACATTTTCCCTATAATTCCATAAGTAGAGTCAATCCCATGAAAGGTCAATTTTTGGTAATTTTTTCATATATGGAAACTTTATGAGTAGCATTTTCCATAAACCAATCAAAAAAGTTTTTTTTTATTTTTGATTTCTTCGCAAATATTTTGGCTTGTGTTCTTAACCGATCACAAGTGAAAATAATCCACATATAGAGGTCAACTCGGGATCACTCTTATTGGCCCAGAGCTTGAACTTAATATTGTAATCGATCCATCCCAATTTACCCTTGCTGCTGCTGCATTTTCGAACTGCAGGGTTTGAATCGTTTTGAAATGGCCTGAACAAAGTTGTCTGATCCCAATAAAAGAACAACTGACAACACTACGTAAATTTGAACAGGCGAAAGACATCTGCGTGTGGTATTCATAATTGAAAAAAAGTAAGCTTAAGCTTTTTAAATTAATGTAACCGTTTAATTAGCCAAAAGAAATAAATTATTTGGAATGAAATCAAACTATGACCAACAAAGTAAACTCGAATTGTAATGATTGGTAGGATATCTGTGATTTTGAGCGCTACTTTTCCAAGCTTTCAACCACTTTCCTGAAGTTAATGGCAGGTATGATTCCACACACGTTAAAGGTGATCAATGGTATCGTAAGGTAACGAGCAAATAGCCTCAATGGTAAAGTTTAACGACGTCACTGATATTTACGGTCAAACTTATCACAAAACAGACGAAATTTTTCGTTCCTTTTACTTTTTTCTGTTTCAGCAAATGTAAAATGAAATTATTGGTTATATCGTTTGAAAGGAATATCTGAAGACTTCAGTTCTCTCGCGATTGGCCAATTTTGGATAAATGAAAATTTGGACTTATTTACATACTTGACGTTTAATTTTTGAGTTGTTCAGATCTCAACTTTTCAATATAAGGATAAACATTTATAATTGAATATATGAAAATTTCAATGAAAAAAAATGGTGCAGATGAGAATACAAAGAGACATTCCAGAGGTGCTTTTGAAGAGAATTTCTCTTATTGTTAGGAAACCGCGGTCTAATTTTAGGCTCACCAACTCTAATAAACTTAACAATACTTCCTAATGACAGAGCAGTATGTATAAATACCCTAGAGGGTTCAGGCCTTAACTTCATTCATGGAAGTGGACGCACATTAGGAATTAAAGAGAAAAAGGCTCATTAAGCTCCAGTAAGACTACCCTCCCCTACTTTTGCCTTGAGTGGATTATATCTTGCGTCGGAGTTTTATTGGCACCCTTATAAAAATGAAGTCATAGTTTCTAAGACATCTAAATGTGGCCATTAGCCGATTAAGAGTTGAAGTTAATCAAGTATTTTGTGTCCCGGCTTTCGAGGCTGGTTAGGGAAAGTTTCAGGTGTCTCTTCATTATGTTCTGATCACTTTTGGTGATCAAAATAGCAGTTGACGACGAAATCTTTTTTAAATTATATTACTCATGAAAGGTAAACTGGGTTAAAATTGATATATTTTTCGACATCCATTTATTATTTTCTTAAGAAAAAAATGATGCAAAATTTTGTATCCACCTCGGTCTTAAGGTCCCAGCTGGAACTTTCTCCCGACGTTAAAAGAAGATTACGGAATTGTTGTTGTTTTTTGAAGAGCTAAGGCGATATTCCCTGATTACGTGCGATTAATTAAAGTGCGATTCATAACATTCGTTAACGAATAATCAGCAAACTAATCAGGTTCGAAATCATACCAAACTAAACTGGGGCAAACTATTTAATCTTGAGAATATAAAATTAAGATTATGCCACAGCTTTTTTTATCTAATGACAAAGGAAACTAGCATTCAGGGTTTCGCCCTGCAACAAACAGTCTGGTTTGCCTCTAGTAAAAGATCAACTACATTTTAGCTCACTCATTTGAAAAAGTTTTGAGATTGATTCCTTTGCTGCTTCATTTTGCGTGTTAAGTTTAATTATTCAGAATTTCACTATATACTAGCGCTGTACAAAAAAATTGTTTTTGATTTTCAACTCTAAACTATTCAAAAAATAAACTTGATTTTCAACTCTAAACTATTCAAAAAATAATCAAAGATAGCCGGTTGCTGCGCAAGTAGCACAAATTGTTCCGACCACCTTCTCAGAATTTCTTTTTCCAAGTTAGTGTCTTTTCTTGTGCGACGTCGTGTGGTGATACAACTATAAAAACGATTAGAAGTTTAATGACTTAATCATAAAAAAGGCACAAAAAATGAAAAAAAAAATTAACAAAAAAAAACCTGAAAAAAATCCCAATTTTTTTAAAAAAATTTTGCCAGAGAAGCGCTGAATGAAGCTTCGAAAACTAGTTTTTTTTTGTTAAAAACAAGGTTTTTAGTCTAAATGACTAAATTTCACATTAAAGAACGTTACACGATCGCTACACTCGCTCGAAATTTGAATCAAACTCAGAAAATTAAATCCAACTGAAAAGTTTTCAAATGATATATCTCATTACAAATCAGCTCTCTTAGTGAATTTGGGTCTTATCGGTTTTACCCCTTTTCGGTTTTTTAACACAGATATTAAAAATGCAATATATAACAAGGATAGCCGGTTACTGTGCAAGTAGCACAGAATGTTCCAACCACCGTCTTAAATAATACAAAAAAATTCAAATTGGTGTCGTTTTTTTTATATGTTGTGATAAAAAGAGCTGAACGAAAAAATAGAAGTTAGGCATATTTGAGATTTATAGAAAAATAGGTCAATTGGAAACAGTTTTTAAAGAAAAATGAATAGAAAAACGAAAAAATTTTTTTTTAATTTTCAAAAAAATTTTCAAATTTTTCTGCAGAAATTTTTTGGATTTTCAAGTTTTTGGTTTCCAAAACTGCGCTAAAAAACTACCTTAACTTGAGTTAAACTAAGTTTTCACGGCTTAAAATAAGCTAAATGCTATTGCAAACCTACACCACCTTATCAGATCCTCGAAATTAGACCAAAAATCAAAAATTTCAATCCGATTTTTTCTCGACACTGGGAAAATTTTTAACTGTGGTTCGAATCAAAGAGTGACTGAAAGGGTTCGTCTAAAAGGGCTCTAATATGATATATCACTCAACCCAGTCCGATGATTATTTGTGGTACCGAATACAAAGTTCCTCCCCATTTTCAATGGTCGGAACAATTATGGGACGCATTTTTTCTTAACAACAAAGCATTTTCTACTTAATTTGGCCTCAAACTTTATTTTACTGTTCCCCCATTTTCTGCCGTTGTCTGCGCATAAGTTTGATAAAAAAACAAAAAACTCTTTTTTAATTGTCATTTTTTTGCGTTTTTCTAGCTTGATTCACCTTTCAGAATGTCAGCCCTGCATTTGTAGGTAACATCAGTCCAATTTTATAGTAAACATTTTCTTTTCTTTTTTTAATCATTTAAGAGGAGTATAACCTAAAAGACCCGTGTATTGATTTCCCAACACTTCTGGACACATAAATACTTCCCTCGGTTTTCCTCTTCTCTCACTCTCAGCAAGTCAATTGTTCCGTTTAATGAATTGATTTAACAGGTGCTTCATAAATCAAGGATGAACTTTTTTCACAGCGGCATTTTCCGAGTCGAGATAAAAGTATCACTTTTTAAAACTCCACAATAGAATCTTCTGATCAAAGGTATCTCACATTGAAACAAACTACCTATGGCTTTGCATTGAAAAGACATTCCACTTTGTACTTGTTGTTCAATTTGATAAAAAAAATTGAAAGTTTAAAAACAAAAAATGATTCCACACTTATTCCCACTAGGCCATGAAGGTGTGGCGTTGCTATAATTGAGAGGAAGCGAGCTAAAAAGTGTGAAATCATCAAAAATTCAGAAGTTCCTTGATTTTTTTGTTGAATGGGTCTCGCAACCAAATTAAAAATACATTGGCAAACGGTTTCCGGAATGCATCTTAATAGATTTTCACTGTTCCGCCGGAGATATCACACTCCGAAAATATTTTACACGGGTTTTTCAGTTTTGTGGATTCCACAAATGCAAGTGACTTTCATATTTTTTAGCATGTATTTTGATGCGCCATTTATGTATAATTTAGAGCCAGTTTGAAAAATCAATAGGTTGGTATTCGACTATGTTTCTTTTCTATTTGGTTTTATGTGAAATCTAATGTGACGTGAACTTGTTTTCGATGCACATTTTGTTGCACTCATTGTTCCGACTTTCGATACGAAAGTAACGGAATATTTGTGCTCGGGGTGGGTTTTTTTTTCTTCAGACAAATTTCGACTTTTTAACTAGCCATATTTGACGGAGTTTTTTTTATATCATTCGAAAGGTATTGTTGTCCTGAGCTCAAATTTGAAAAGATATTTCACCTGTGATCATTTTTTGTAAAATTATGGAGGTTTAAAGATTGCCATTTTGGCCAATTTGAGACAATTAACGCGCGATATATTTCGCGCTATTAACGCGTAAGCGGAGAATTAATCAGTCCAAGAAATCGTTCCAAATTGGTTTAACGAAGCTTATTTGCCATAATTGATTGGTTACAAGCAGCGAAATCTATCCTTTTGTAGTTTATTTGGTGTGTGGGGGGATGATTTTCATAAAAAATTTCAAATTTTAGGGAAAAAAACTTTCATTTTGTTTTATTACTTTTAATTTCTTAATGTTATTACTGCTCCATAAAACTTAATAGGCAGTCGGAACAATCAGGGCTTCGCCATGATACGAGCAGTCTCGTTTAGTTTTTGTTCCGACTTTCGATACGAAAGTAACGGAATATTTGTGCTCGCGGTGGGTTTTTTTCTTTAGACAAATTTCGACTTTTTAACTAGCCATTTTTGACGGATATATTTTTATATCATTCGAAAGCTATTGTTGTCCTGAGCTTAAATTTGAAAAGATATTTTACCTGTGATCGTTTTTTGTGAAATTATGTGGGTTTACACATTGCCGTTTCAACCAATTTGGGGCAATTAACGCGCGATATATTTCGCGCTGTTAACGCGTAAGCGGAGAGTTAATCCGTCTTAGAAATTGTTCCAAATTGCTTAAAAGAAGCTTATTTGCCATAATTGATTTATTACAAGGAGCGAAATCTATCCTGTTGTACTTCATATGGCGTGTGGGGGGATGATTTTCATAAAAAATTTCAAATTGTAGAAAAAAAAATCATTTCATTTTATTACATTTAATTGTTTTTGTTATTGCTGCTCCATAAACTTCAAAAGGCAGTCGGAACATTAATGGTGGCTTGGCCCTGCTACGAGCAGTATTGTTCTTATTTCAGTTATATTTAGCCTCTCGGACGTTCGTTTGCGATCATGTATAAATTTCTGTGCGGATTCTGTTCGGCGCCAGTCTTGCATTGTTCAATTTATTGCCCAGTTTTTCCTTTATGTGCAGACTGACTTTCTCTCTGTTTTCGGTATGTTTCCGTATGTTTCCGATCATAAATGGCGCATCAAAATACATGTAATAAAATATGAAAGTCACTAACAAATGTGGAATCCACAAAACTATAAAACCAGTGTAAAAAATTTTCGATATGTTCAGATTTCGGTATGTTTCCGACCAAAATATGATATGCGCAGACTTTTGCGACCCAGCTCAAAACTTTTGCGATTGGATTTCTAGATAAATGCTACTTAAAATCTGGTCGCGAATGAGCAATGTGGGATTGATAGCGACGCAATTTCCAAAACGTTGAAAGCTTTTGGTTCGACAACTGCTGGTTTATGATTTCCATCAACACTCGAACAGTTAGCTGAAAAAAATTGTGGGTTACTTTTTACAAAAACGAACGACAGGAGATATCACAAAAACTGAGGAATGAATGGTGAGAGACAAATTTGTGAAAATGATGTAGGAAAATTTTTTTCACCCTGACTCACTGATTCACCACAAAAAGTACGAGCGTGGTTATAGTAGGATAACAATTACTCTTGAAACCTCCCGGTAAATGCTATTGCGTAAGAGCTCAGCTTTCAGTTTAAATTTCTTAAGTGAAAATTGGCATAACCCGGGTCGAGGTCCTCGAACAACAACTTTCGACTTTGTCGGTCGCGGAAATATTAATTCCGCAACCAAAAATCCATAGGCTGAACTGGGTTCTAAGTCGCAGACAAACTCTGGAAAAACCGTATCTCGGTCGCGATGGTCGAAA